AGATTAGCATTTTTCATAATGACTTAGTTTTATGAATTTTCCAATTTTCTAGATTTGACAGGGATTTTGTTGTAACTTTATGACACCAGGTAAGTTGACTGATGAATATATACTCATATTGACCATTCTTAAGAATTAAATTTTATGTTCATTCTAAGACGTAGTATCACTTTAAAATAAGTTAGTAATGAACAGTGGTCTGACAGTGGTAAAAATTTTGCTTTGGAATCAGAAATGAGAAAAAAAGATTTACCTGATTTCCTCCCATACCGTGACAAGAAACCATTCCAACTTTCTCACCACTTTTTCTTCCCATCGTATCAATACACATTCCTGTTTCTTTATTACGTACCTATATATTATTTAAAATAGAGTTTTACTTCCTACTGTTCTATATCTTATTAGACTAATGAAGACAGGCAATGCCATGCAGTGTGAAATGAGGGAAATTTTGTCAGGACAGCTGCATTAGCCTGCTCTTTTTCGATTTCCAACTGTCGAGGGATCTTTAACATGTACAGCCTGTAGCACACGGGGCCTTGGTTTATTGTCTCATCTGAACAACTAGACACTTTCTCTATTTCCAATTGTCGAGGGATCTTTAAAGTGTACAGTCTGTAGGAAACAGGGCCTCGGTTTATTGTCCCATCTGAACGATTAGACGCTTTCTCTATTTCCAACTGTCGAGGGATCTTTAACGTGTACAGCCTGTAGCACACAGGGCCTTGGTTTATTGTCCCATCTGAACGACTAGATTCTTTCCTTTGTTAAGATGCCCTAACACCATAGTGATTACTAGTTGTGTATAGTTGTCAATAATGAAAATGGCCAAGAGTCACGAAAACAGCTCACATGAGAGTTGTGTTCGTAACTTATGACTGCTGTTGTTATTGGTAACCATACACAACTGGTAATAGATATAGTGAGAGGTCTCCTTTAGTTACATGAGAGTTGCATTGGTGATGGCTATAGTGAGAGTTGCGTTGGTGATGGCTATAGTGAGAGTTGCGTTGGTGATGGCTATAGTGAGAGTTGCGTTGGTGATGGCTATAGTGAGAGTTGCGTTGGTGATGCCTATAGTGAGAGTTGCGTTGGTGATGGCTATAGTGAGAGTTGCGTTGGTGATGGCTATAGTGAGAGTTGCGTTGGTGATGGCTATAGTGAGAGTTGCGTTGGTGATGGCTATAGTGAGAGTTGCGTTGGTGATGGCTATAGTGAGAGTTGCGTTGGTGATGGCTATAGTGAGAGTTGCGTTGGTGATGCCTATAGTGAGAGTTGCGTTGGTGATGGCTATAGTGAGAGTTGCGTTGGTGATGGCTATAGTGAGAGTTGCATTGGTGATCGCTATAGTGAGAGTTGCGTTGGTGATGGCTATAGTGAGAGTTGCGTTGGTAATCGCTATAGTGAGAGTTCCAATTAAAGGGAAGCTACTCATCTAAAAAGACATTTCAAAAGAAGTATTCTGGTTTACCGTAGTTTATGAAATATAAAATAAAAACTAACCTCTCCTAAAGAATAGAAATCTAAAGGCATCTGTGATTCAGGATAAATATTTTCTAAATACCATCGGAAACTTTTACATTCTAATTTCTTACGAAGATTTTTTCTAGCAGAAACGTCACCATACGCCGTATTTTTAACACCTAGAAAATAAAATACACGTATATATCTTAAACAACTATTTTTTACAAGGATAACTACTTTCCGAGGACCAGCTGGTGAAAAACTCTTGGTATTGATTTTACAAGGATAACAACTTAGGTTCACAAGGATCCTTTCTACCAGCTGATCCTTGACCAAACCTCTTGGTATTGATTTTACAAGGATAACAACTTAGGTTTACAAGGATCCTTTCTACCTGCTGGTCCTTGGTCAAACCTCTTGGTAATGATTTTACAAGGATAACAACTTAGGTTCACGAGGATCCTTTCTACCAGTTGTTCCTTGGTCAAACCTCTTGGTATTGATTTTACAAGGATAACAACTTAGGCTTACAAGGATCCTTTCTACCTGCTGGTCCTTGGCCAAACCTCTTGTTAATGATTTTACAAGGATAACAACTTAGGTTCACTAGGATCCTTTCTACCAGTTGTTCCTTGGTCAAACCTCTTGGTATTGATTTTACAAGGATAATAACTTAGGTTCACAAGGATCCTTTCTACCAGCTGGTCCTTGGTCAAACCTCTTGATATTGATTTTACAAGGATAACAACTTAGGTTCACTAGGATCCTTTCTACCAGCTGGTCCTTGACCAAACCTCTTGGTAATGATTTTACAA